CATCAACCAATTGAGCCCTGTTAATATGTCCAATAAGGACGTTTTTTCATTCTTTTATAAGTTGAATTCAATCTCTTTCTTGTTTCCTTTTCCTACTCACTCAATTCCAAACTATGTGCATACTCCTTCTACTATGGATGATGTGAGCACCTTTTTTCCCATTTAGGCTCAATATTTAACTGGGAAAGAATTGTTCCAAGACATCTTAACCGGAACAAACGCTAAGGCAGGGGTTGAGATATATGTTCCTCAGTTTTTTGCCCGTCAACTTGGTTTTGGCCAAACGTGGTCGGTTCCTCCCTATTTTTCCAAAAGTCTGACGGACAATTTTCATACTATCAATAAAACAGAGGCACATGCAATTGATGCCCGTAATACTCTTTTGACAAACGATTTCTCCTTGGCCCCTTTTAATCCCACTTTTGTCATTCACCCTCTTTTTAAACAATTCTGGCCATCCGTGAAGCGTAGGTTGTTGGCAACTGATGTTAACCACGCTTTCCACTAGCTGGAAAGGTCGGGGACTCCTTCCATTTCTCTTATTCCTCTCATTTCTGTATCTGTTAGGAACCCTGCTTCTCCTTTGAAACCCCCCACCTGCTCGTGTTAAACATCTTACTCTTCCATCTAGTTCCCTACCTGCTCAAACTGGAACAGCTAAGGTGTTCCCAGCCGCAAGCAGCCAGCTTCAGTTTCGTCAGGTCTGCCCGATGATGACGACGACGACGATGATGATGATGATGATGCCCTTCTCGTCATCGGGAGATAGGTAATCAAGTTTGTTTATTCATGAAAAAATCCTTCATATTCATATGTGAATGTTTTACCTGGATCTTCCAGAAAAGCACAACTTCTCCTCTGAAGACTCTGCCTTTACCGACTCTTGCTCCACCACCTTTCACCAAAGCTTCTCTGTCCAAGTCCTCTGACGATGGGACTTTACCTAAGGAGATGCCCACAGTCCAAGATTTTTTTATCGCACAGCCAACTGGAGAACTTCGACCCTTCCAGGGAGCTGACCCCCCCCAACGTATTGAACTGGCAGGTAATACATAGTTTATGGCCTTTCTCCTTGTTTATGTTGTTGGCCTTTTAACTCATTATCACCTAATTCTTGCAGAAACTCCCATAAATATGCCCGTTGTGGAAGGGCCTGCTCGTTCAGACAAAGGGAAGTCCCCACAGGTGGTCAAATCAACCAGTAATGTGCCCCAGTTTTCCAAAGCTAATGATGAGGTAACATTTGTTTCGTCTTTCATCTTCATTTCGTTCAATGTAATTAAAATGCTAAACGCTTGCATTTTTCTTTACAGGACACTGACGCCGTTTTGTGTTCCATTCAAAATTTGTTTACTTCTTGGGAACAGGTAATGGCAAGCGCTACCTCTCGTTCCTCTTTAGCCAGTCGTCCTTCTACTTTCTCTGCTGCATTCTCAGAGGAAAATATGAACATTCTCAAGCAATCAGTGCTTGAATATGTTTCCTTTATGGATATGGATATCAACAATGCCAGTGCTTCTAGTCAAAGGGATAAGTTTGAGGTTCTATGTGCAAAAATGGATCGAGCACTTGAGCTTCCTTCTCTTAAGATTTCATCTGATTTTAAGCTGACGTTAAAGATTATCCATTCAGAGATAAGCGCTTTGCTAGCCAGGAATGTAGAGTTAAAAGCTAAAAAGACTCAGTACATTCATGCTGTAAATGAAAAGGAGTCTTTACTTCAAGAGATCGAGAAGACCAAGAGCACTCTAACCGAAATCATCTCTGGAGTTATGGTTGAAGATTCGTTGATGATGAGCCTGGTTGCAGAGATGAAGGAACTTCAAGCAAGGATGGACGACTGTAGGGCTAGGTTGGTCGCCAAGAAGCGTAATGCTTCCCAAG